TTGGGATGTTTCATTAGTCGCACAAAGTGACATAGGTCACCCTAGCTCCAATGGATGTTGTTGAACATAAGGTTGTTATTTGACTGTTTCGATCTAGGAAGGCAAGAAGGATCCTGCACAAGCAAGAAAGCTCAAATAGAATGGTTAAATGGAATTATAGAAATGAATATAAGAAAAAAGGAAAAGAATTGGCTGCATAAGTCTTTGATAAGTAGATGATAGGTTTAAAAAATAATTTGAAAGATGGAGTATGGTGATGGAAATAGGATGAAGGAGATGATGATGGATTTTGAAGAAAAGTACCTGAAAGTATCAAAGAAGAAACAAAGCTATATGATAGCTAAGCCCCATACCTTATAGGATGACTTCGAGGGATGATACAATAGGATTTGGCCCCTCTAATTATAGATGAACTAGGAAACACTAGTATCACGGTGGAAATAGATGGGAGTGACGAAACAAGTATAAACTTGATAAGTCGATAAAGTTCACTTAAGTACTAAAGAAAGAAATTCTCACAAATATTTCATAAATTAAAGTTCAATTCATCCTCCCTTGGTGTGAACATGTTCGTTCATTTCCTTGCAAGAATTTGGAGGAATGTATCCATGTTCGACCCCTTTGGGAATGTCTGCACCATGTGTGAACGTAATGGTTCGACTTCCTTACATGAATTTGCATAAATGAATGTACTTGAAAACCTTGAATGAAACATTGCATTTTTTTAATAAATGTGATGAATCAAGTCAATAGTCACTTTTGGTCCAATGCATGTCTTCATTAATGTTATCCATTCATAAATTAAAGGAAGGTGATAAATGATTGTAAATCACGTATGAGTTTTCAGCCTACACTGTCTTTGGTAATATGGACATATCTTAAGCTCCCAATGTCGGATTGATGCAATATAAAGTGCGTTGGAAAGCTAAGAGATGGGGGTTAAATGTCAAGATACTTCACAACCAAAAGATGCTTTGAAACTTTTAAAAATGGCGAACAAACTGATTGACGTAAATTGTCCCTTGGATTGCATTGAATGAATGTACATCTTGCATGGCCGAATGTGATGCTTCACTTGGTGGCTGCCACTTTAATGTGTTCACATTAGTTCCTCACATCCAAAAGGTGGTGACTGGTCTTGCTAGGCATGTGATTCGTTCATGGCACAAAGGTGAGCACTTAGTGAGCTAACGAGGTGAGTGTAGCTAGCTAGTGTCACTTCAGCTACCCAAATAACCCTTCAGTTGCCTTTAGTCTCTTCAGTTACTCTTTAGCTAAGTTAAACTCCCATTCAGATCATCCAGCTATCCTTTGAGCTCGGTTAAGCTCCCTTCAGCATCTCAGTCGCCGCAAGAGTCTGGAGGATGCGCCTGCTAATAACTCAATCATTCATCTCGGCTCAGCGTTTAAACCAGAACAAAAAAGGTTGTGCTTCTTTCATCCTACTAAATGTATGTAAAAGAAAAGGTATTTTTCTTTGTCAAATATTTTAGCACATAACTTGAGAGAGAAGATTTGATATGGTAGTTAGGCTAGTCCTAAAGTCCTAACCAGTCCTATATGAGTAGGGTCCCTGTGATCTCAAGCAATTATGCCAATTTGATTTTGCTTTGAAGGGTTTTTATTCTTTTTTAAAACTAGTAGTGGATTTGCTTTGCTCTTGACTATGTAAAGAATGTACATGAAGCCATGAGTGTTGGGCCTCCTTCAAATGTAGCACTTTTTATTTATGAATCGTTTTGAAGGCAAGAACAGTTCTCTTTTTCTTCATCCACAGCTGTGGTTTACTGCAGTTACCTATGAATATCACATTGGGCTTTTCCATTTAAACTCAGCTTTTTCCTGCTAATTTAAAGCATGTAAGCCTAATTCGTGGACTATTTAGAAATAATAAAAGAATTTTTTCTGATATTTTATTGAGTAATGACTTAAGTTTGATGCATAGCATATTTGTTTATTTATACTAATTAGGGGTAAATTACACCATTACTCATTGAACTATTCTCTCTCTCCTATTGTACTCATTGTACTTTCAATTTTTCTATTTTGCTCACTGAACTTTCGAATTGTTGATGTTTTGATCACTTCGAATTATTTTATTATTATTTTCACATGATGTGGCATTTTATTATTATTATTTAATATAAAATAATTAAAATTATAAATAAAAACAGAAGGTGACCGTACACTACCTCCAACGCCCGTCGACCGCCGTAGATAGTGGTTGTTCGATCCCAAATTTCATCTGTCAGTTCGCATCGACACCGTGAGTCCGAATCTGACCTCGATTTTGTCAGAGCTTATTATGAAGTCCATGAATTGGTGATTGAAAGTGAGGAAATCGAAACATTTCAGTCGAGATTCATTAGGTTTGGGACATTTTTCGGTGAGACGAATCGATCCATGAAATTTGGGATCAAAATGCCACAATCTACTACGGTCGGCGGTGATCGGAGGTGGTGTCCGACCACCTTCTGTTTTTTATTTTATAATTTTAATTATTTTATATTAAATAATTAAAAAAATCTCATGTCATACGAAAATAATAAAAAAATACATAGTGATCAAAACAAGAGTAATGTCAAAATTCAATGAGTAAAATAGAAAAATTGAAAGTACAATAAGTAAATTAGGAGAGATAATATAATTAAGTGAAGAACGATATAATGTATTCTATTAATTAGTAAACCATCAGTTTAACTAAGCACATATGTTTTATTTTAGGTAAATTAAAATTTGGTAATTGAACTTCTATCTCTCTCCTATTTCACTAGTTGTACTTTAAATCTTTTCAATTTCCTCACTGAACTTAATATATTAGGTTTTTCTAGTAATTCGATCGTCAAATAGGTAACAACGTTAAAATAGGGTGTTATATAGATGCAAAACGATATCGTTTTGGTGAAAATTTGTTTTTTAAACGACGTTGTTTTTAATGTTGTTAAATATTTAATGGTGGAGTGACCAAAATAGTAGACAAGGTAAAATTCTGTGATAATTTTGTAATTTATCTTTTGTTTTAATATATGCACTGTTTCTGGAATTTCATCTTTATGATATATTTATTAGTTTATTTTAATATAATATGTAAATTTATATTATGTAAAAGTTAAGTCTCGTCTATGGAATCAAGCTTGGTCTATGAAACTTCCTTGGATCACATGAGAATGCAATATGGTAACTGATTGACTGATGAAAATGTTCGTTTTTTACCATTATCGAGTTTCATTGTTGGACTTTGTACCGTCTAATATGATCAACCATAGAAATTAAGATAAGTAAACAATACTTATCAATACGATAAAAATTGAATTATTCAAAAAAAACTATAGAAATTGACTAGTTTAAAATCTTTTTTCTCGAAATTTTGTGAATCTAGTATGCTTTTACATATTATTTTATATATATTACTTTTACATATTATGTGAAATAAATAATAAAATACTTGATAACATTTCAACACTTCTGATAAAAATATATATACCATATGCTATACTCATCTCATGTATTATTTCTTTAATATTGTGTTAATTTAAATGATTAACCCACATTAATTTAAAAGTATATACCAACCATTAATATACTTGAGTCATTTTCAAATCGTTACTTTGTATTATTTTTAGGGTAAATTCTACGGTTGACCAATTACGTATTTAGCCCTTTTACTTTTACCATCAATTTTTTAATTTATCAATCATAACATATAATTATTTAATTATTGGCAGTCAAGTCACTATCGTTACCATTTAAGGGATTAGATGACATGGCAGTTAAATATCTTGATATGATTATACATTTGATCCCTATTGTTTATATATTCTCTCAATTTAATCTTATTTTTAATAAATTAAAATAAATTTAATCCTCAAATAATAGTAATATAGGGAATTTAATTTATTTTAATTTAATATATTTATTTTTCACCAATCAAAGGGTGACATGTGTTACCATTTGATTGAAAGAAAACAAAACAAGCAAATTACGGACAGAGGGGATTTGTCCGGGGTGAATGAGAAATCAAGCATAAACTCAACTACTGAGCCAAGACCACTTCTTGGTTTAAAATACACGTGTATTTATTTTCTATCTTAGTGTATAAATACTTAACTTGAGTTCACAATATTTTATATATCTTTAAAAATATATTTTATTTTTATTTTAACTATTTAAATATATTTTATTATTAAATTAATTTAAAAATATTTTATTATTATTTAAATTTAAAATATACATTTTATTCTTATCTTAGCTTAAAAATATATTTTATTCTTATTTTAAATTTTTAAAAAATATTTTATTCTTATTTTAATTTCAAAATATATATTATATTCTTATATGGGCCAAATGTCTAATTATACCAAAATATTTAATTATCATGGCACTTAATCCGTTAAATGGTAACGACTAATGAGTTGATTGACAACACATAAATAGTTAAGTGATCTGATTGACAAAATTGAAAGAGCAGTGGTAAAATTAAAATGGCCAAATAACTAAGTGATCAACAATATAGTTTCCCCTTATTTTTAATTCATCATACATTTTGCACGAATAAATTGTTATCTCCATTTCATTAATACAAAGAAGGGCGAGTTTGAGTTGTGTGTTGGATTCATAACATAGTCATCATACATATTGGATGAGCAGAATTAGTTGAATGAAACCCATTGGACAGTTATGAATCGAGACGAGCCGATGAGATCCAACTTCAAGGCACCATTTTGTTAACAAATTGAACCACCTCTTATCGGTAGGAAAAAGGAATAATACTCCAGATTTAGCCTTTTCTTTTACTTTGATGTATTTGGGTGAAAATACCCACTGTCCATCTGTCGCCAACGGATTTTACAACTAAAAACCAACAAAAAAGGCGGATAATCGTACATTCCAATTTGTACTTGTACCTTCCATCCTTTATGTTAATGTTATATTTTCTCTTCAAAACCGGTCTCCTCCATAATCTTTCTTTCGATTGTGTTAGAGATTAGTGCTGCAAGATGATGGGAAGTGGTACGGCTGCTAATAAAGGAGTTAGGCCGATGGCCAGTGGCTTAAAAAATTACTACGTAAAGCGTGGTTTAGAAAAGGAATTCGAAGTATGTTTTCTTGATAATAGGACCGTTGGCTTGACCCAATGGCAAGCGACAAGCCCCTTGATGACATATCTCCCCAGTTTTATGGTACAACTTACCTTGATTATAACCTTGAGTCGGCTTTTAATGATCATCTTCAAACCTCTTCGTCAACCTCGTTTTGTCTGTGAGATTCTTGTATGTATACAATACAAATTGTTGTAATTCTTCTGATTAAACAAAAGACTTTTGCTTTTAATTGATGATGGATGATGAATTATGTAGGCAGGCGTTATGCTAGGCCCAACTTTCATGCAAAACTTGCAGCAGGTAGCAATTTACGTCAACAAACCGGAGGGGGTTTTGTTGCTGGAAACAATGGGGAGCCTTGGCGTCACATTCTATATGTTCCTAATGGGTCTGGAGATGGACCTAACCCCAATCCGAAAGATGGAAAAAACAGCCTACAGCGTGGCCATTGCTGGAATTATTTTGCCAGGGTTTGCAGGAATGATATTATATCGTCTAGTTAAGATTGATCAAGAAGATGCTCCCATGGAGGGTGGGTTCTTTTGGGCGATTGCCCTTACTGTCACAAGCTTCTCGGACTTGGCTCGAATACTTTCAAAGCTCAAGCTCATGTCTACGGATCTTGGAAAGACGGCCTTGGCTTCAGCAGTTCTCACAGACCTGGTTTCTTGGATTCTTCTTGTGGCAACAATAGCTATGGTTAATGGGCGTGGCAACGTTCTAAGGATAATCCCAACTCTGATTTTCATGCTACTATGTTGGTTTGTGATTCGACCACTTCTTTTCCGAATGATTAAACGAATCGGAGCAGAAAGAGAGGACTCGCTCTCATCATCGTCGTCGTCAATGGAAGGCCAATGTAGCGATAAACATGTTGGTTTTATTCTTACAGGAGTGCTCTTTTGTGGGTTTATCACAGAGTTATGTGGCGTACATCCCATGTTTGGAGCTTTCATGTTCGGACTGATTATACCCAGAGGAGAGATTAGGACTAAGATCATGGATAAAATTGAGGAGTTCGTGGTAGGGATTATGCTGCCCCCGGTTTTCTTGGTTGCTGGCTTGCGGACCAACATCGTATTTATAGCCGCCGGATACCGGTATTGGCTGGTAGCTACTGTTATAATTGTGGCATCCTTGATTAAAATCATCAGTACTCTGTTGGTCTGCGCTTACCTGAGATGCTCGTTTCGGGATAGTTTGGCCTTGGGGGTCCTGATGAACACCAAGGGCGTCATTGCCATCATCGTGCTTCAAGAGGGCCGGAACGTGAAGGTTTAAGTTTCTTTGAATTGCGTCTTAACTAAATACGAGTGTAATTTATCATACTAGTTAAATATTTATATATTGCTTTCACCTCAGGGATTTGACCAGCCAACCTTTACTTGGATGGTGCTTTCCATAATACTCATGACCGGCTTGGTTGTCCCAGTCGTGAGTTTCACTCACAAGTCCACAAGGCATTTGAAGCAGCAGCATCGGATGAATTTGGAAAGGAGCAGACCGGAGTCAGAGCTCCGAGTCCTGGCATGCCTCCACTCCAGCAAAAACCTTTCTGGGTTAATCAATCTTTTGCATCTTTCAAATGCCACCAGAAAATCCCCAATTGTGGTCTTCGCCGTTCACTTGATTGAGCTCACAGGACGCGCTTCTGCAATGCTCATTTTGCATGATAAGAGTGAAACAAATGACATATCTAGTAACCCCATTCGAGAAAGAGCCGAGTCGGAGCAAATCGTCCGTTCCTTTGAATCCCTTCAAAACGACAACCGAGCCGTCACTGTTCACCCACTCACCGCGGTGTCCCCTTACGCCACTATGCACGAAGATGTTAGTAACTTAGCCATAGATAAGCATGTGTCTGTCATCTTACTCCCATATCACAAGAAACCCAATGACATTGGGGGTTGGGAGGACCAAAACCTCGAGTACAAGAGAGTGAGCCAAAACTTGCTTGCTAATGCCCCTTGTTCCGTTGGCATACTTGTGGATCGCGGCCTAACTCGACACCTTCCTCTAGAATCCCAACATGATCAAATTCGAAAAATTCGGATTGCTATGCTTTTTGTTGAAGGAGCTGATGACCGAGAGGCATTGGCTTATGCATGGAGAATGGGGGCCAATCCAAGAGTGACACTAACCGTAGTGAGATTTGTCCCTGGAAAAGACTTGTTAGAGAGTGTAGCAGATGATGACGATGCTGATCTTGATGTATTCTCCGCCATGTTCGAGAAAGAAAAGGAGAAACTGCTTGATGACGATTACATAAATGAGTTTAGATTTAGAACAATGCATAATCAATTCATTACTTACATGGAAAAACCCGTCAACAGTGGAGACCAGATTGTATCAACCATTACATCGGCTCATAATGATTATGATTTGTACATAGTAGGTAGAGGATATGACAGGCAATCTCCAATGACCTCGGGACTTGCTGATTGGAGTGAATTCCCGGAGTTAGGACTGATTGGGGATACCTTGATATCAGTGGACTCCTTAATGTCAGCCTCCGTTTTGGTTATGCAACAATCACCTCCTGTGGCTGCCCTCGCCAATCCTAGAGTATCCCAGAAAGGCAACACCTCTGGCTCCAACAAAGGCTTCTCTTCGGATCACCCATTTGTTAGTCATAGATTAAGCAATCCTTAATCAGATATTTCGAACCGGGCGAACAGGTTTAAGAAAAAATAATGCTTCAATAACATTAAACCTTTTAAATATTTTTATTTTTCAAGGTAAACTCACCTGTTACTTGGGGTCCGTTTGTTTCACGAAAACGTTTTTCGGAAAATATTTTTCGTAAAATGAATTACATTTTCTGGAAAAATATTTTCTGGAAAACGTTTTACGATTTTTGAAAGATGTTGTTTAAATCCTTTTACCACTAGTTGATGATTTTTTTAAAATTGTTTATTACAAATATTAAATATAATAAATAATATTATTTATCATAAAATTTAATATTATTATTTTTAAAATATTAAAATAACTTATTTATTATTAAAATACTATTTTTATAATTTTATTAATAAAAATATGAATATTGATATATTTTATTGAAATACAAATATTATAAATTATATTATTTATTTATTAAAGTAATAGTGTTATATTATATTTTAAAAATATTAATTAGTATATTTGAAATATTTTAAAAATATTAGATTATTATTAATATTAAATATATAAATATATTATTCATTATTAATAATTTAATAATATTATTTCTATGAACTTAATAAATAATATAAATTTTATTAATAATTTATTATATATTATTAAAATAAAAATATAATATCTTATATTATTATAATATAATTTATTATTTTGTTATAATATTATAATATTAAAAATATAATATTATATTATTATAAATATTAATAAATATATATTAAATATTTTAATAAGTAATATTTTGATTAAAATGATATTAAAATATTTTATTAATATTAAATTCATAAAATAAAATTATTTTGAGTATTTATTATTTGAAGTGAAAAGTTTGGAAAATGACTTACTGAAAATTAGACCGTAAGTCATTTTCCAGAAAACACAAAGGAAATTATGTTGACCAGAAAAATGTTTTACGTTGATCAGCCAGTTTTCCTCCAACCAAACACTGTAAAATGAGGAAAACATTTTCCGAAAAACATTTTACGTGAAACAAACAGACCCTTATTTATGTTTTGATTATCCAACTATTATTTTTTCCAAAATTATGCATAACATTACGTTTTGTTTCTATTTTTGTCATCTTCTGTTAAAAAATTAAAGGTGATATAACATGCCATCATAAAGTAATGTCACGTCAATATTTAAAAAATTAAAAAAATTAAAAAAATGACACATCGACATTACCGTTAAAAAAGTTAACGTAGGTGATTAAAACATAAACAAAATATAACATTAGGTATGATTTTTATAAAATAATAGTTGAGTGACCAAAACAACACTAACAAATGAGTGACCAAATATATAATTACTCTTTTTTTATACTCGACATATTATATTTTTATTGCGTTTAAACTATTCTGTTAAGTTGTCTTGCAAATTTGAAGTTTCTAACAAAAGATTGTGGTGAGAGGAACGAGTGTTCACTCAGAGAAAAGTATTGAATTAAGAAGCTAAGTGTGGTGTGAAGAATTAAAGAGGTTCATTAAAAAAAGGAGTCGAATTTGGACGCTAACTGTCAACATAATATCGATGGTAAAGCTATTCACAAATTTGAGAGATTTGGAAGGGATTTTTATGAATCAGTCGTAGAAAAATTCACTAGAGTTTGACGATAGTAAGACTCTTAAGTAATCCTGACTCAAAGAATCGTTTGTTGACGTTGAGCATTGGTCCAAATCATCCAACTTGGCATGAAGCTAACAAGATAGAAGATCGTTAGAAAAGAAAAAAAAAAAGAGCATCTTTGCTACAAGACGCTCCCCATTAGCATGCTAGAAACAACGTCTAACACGTTTAAAGGAATCTCCCAGCGATTAGCAGTCACACACTCCAGAGCCCTCCTAGGCACGTTCATCCAGTAATGTTTCTTCATAGGGGTGTTTAATGAGTTGAGCAGCTCGAACACGATTTGGTCAAAGTTCGATAAAAACTCAACTATAGTTAACTCGAGTCGAACTTGAGCTCGACTCGAGATCTTAATAAGTTGAGTTGAGTAAAATTCACTCGACTCGATAAGTTTGCAAGCAACTCGTTAATTTTTTATATATAATTTTTTAATAATTATCTTAAAAAATTATTTCATACACTCAAAAATCAAACCTTATATATTATTTTGATTTATTTGTGGATTGTTATTTTGGAGTTTAGATTTTAAAATTACTTCATACACTCTTTTGATAAATTTTTTTGTTGAATTTATTAATTTATGTTTATATTAAGTTCTCTATATTATTAGTAGATTTTACTTATATTTAAGAAGAAAAAAAGATAAAAATTTCGTTGAGCTTAACGAATAATGAGACAAGCATTGAGCTTAACGAGTAAAGAGCAACGAGTAGAGCAATAAATTTTCTTAACGAGCATGAGTTGAGTAAAATTTTAACAAGCTTAACGAGTACCGAGTCAAGTTAAACATAAATTTTTTTAATAAACACAAATCGAACATTACTTAATTCACAATCAACTCGCTTGATAAGCATAGCTAGTTATTCATAAGATTCTTGCCTTTAGAATCTAACACTTTTTGGTTTCCATTTTTGTCAATGAAGCTGAAATGACAGTTAACAAACTTCGCATCCATGATGAGGGTCCAAATTTCTGCTAGGTCATCATCATCAGAGTTGATCTTTATTACTACTGGACATGAACCACTCTCAACAGCCATGTATCAACAGCCGAAATCAACCACAAATTGTATACCGTTAACCGGCAAAATTAGGCCAGTAAAATGTATGAGTTTTTTATTTAGCTCATTAAGGCAAATTAATATTTATTTTGAGATCTATATTATTTTTTATAATGACACGAAACTCATCACGTCGAGGTGATTAATTTTATTAAAAAAAAATTTTTTTATTCTATTTTTTTACCTCGATATGATAGATTTTAATAAAAAAAATTATATTTTATTTAAACTCATCACCTCAGCATGTTGAATTCGAATAAAATATATTTTTTATTAAAATTCATCACATCACCATGACGAGTTCTAATAACATTGTAAAAAATATTATAAATCCCAAAATAAATTTTAACTTGTCCTAATGGCCTAAATAAAAAAGCTCGTTATCGGGCTAAATCAGCCGAGTAAACCACTATCATGCCCTTTGTCATAAATATAAAGAGTCTGTGGTGGTGCATACAGATACAAAAACCTAGAATCTGAATAGAACCATCCATCACTACAAGTCCACAACCCGCAACCCTTGAATGAGCTCGTATATAATTAAAATGCTTGTAACCAAGTCTCCCATTTCGCTGCCACGTTTACACCGGAGTTGGTGGAGTCAAGAGAGAAAGGGTCTCTCATTTCGCCGTCACGTTTATACCGGAGTCGGTGGAGTCTAGAGAGAGAAGGAATCACTCTCGGAAACGACAACACCAGCTTGATGAGAAAGAAAAACAAACGTAACAAATTTTTTCGAGTTCCGAATCGAGGCTTAGGTGAGAGCAGAGGGCTTGGACAATATAAAAGACGTTTTCCCTTCATTTTCCTTCACTTTTGAACCGAAAGCAACCGACGGCAATTAAAATTGGTTCGTTCATCGAGACCATAATGGTTTTCCAAATATTCTTAGGTGTCATCATGTCATATGAGCAGCGTCGAGTCTGATCTTACTGATATTATCTTCTACCCGTATCAAGTTACCAGTTCACCCATCGAAGACCATCACTTGATAAGTTGGAATTTGATTCAATCTTTTCTTTCCACTTGATATTCCAAAATTCTCGTCTTCAAATTCTCAACTTCAATGAACAGAGAGAAAAAAAACTTGGATAAACAAAGGTAAGAACTTTTTAATGTATTAATGAAATGGAGAAACTAATTTGGAAAACAAAAATCTTGTAAGATAAATGTGGAATGTTTTAGTTGATTGATATCATTAATGATGTGGTGAAAAGGGTCTATGAAATAATTTCTCCCGCTAATCACTTGATATAAATAATGAGCAGAAAGTGAAGTAAGCGTGATGCAATCTGTTATTTAAAGCTGCATGCAAATTACAATCATCAGACTATGCGTAATTACTAGAATAAATGTTTGCAATCGCTTCGCTTAAATTGTCTAGTTGCTCAAATCCACTGGAGGATTGTGGCGATCAAACGGGAGCTTTATGTTTCCCATATATTGGGCAGGAACAAGCATAAGATTCTCAGAATTACATAATATTTCAACCATTAATCCATCCGGGTCGTTGAAAAACAGCTGGTCGATCTTAGTCCCATTTCCATCCTTCATCGTCCTCTTAATGTACTTGGTGTTGAACTCTTTCAATCTTTCCTCCATTTCTTCCATATCTTCACAATGCAATGGTTCAGTATTAATTTTTAAAAACAAAGAAATTCCATTTTTCAACTCTCAAGTATTATTGAATATTAAAAAGAGAAAAAGAAGAGTGGCTAAAGCTACTAAACCTGGAAAGAAATATGGTTGTCCTTAGGATCCAAATGATGGGTGTCAGAAGGCAACCTGTTTTCGTCCTGTGACTGCACCAAGTGAATCCCAACCCCATAATTGAACAACCAAGCGCCATCAAAATTATCTAAAGCAGGAGGCCGTTCAACTAACACGAAACCGAGAACCTTGGTGTAGAAATCAGTGGACTCCTTAACGTTTCTACATAGCCTAGACACATGGTTCAGTGCTAAAAGACAAGGCGCTGGGCTCTCTTCTTCTTTTTTTTCTTCCTCGGTTTCCATTTTGAAAAATGAAAATGCATGGAACTGTTGAGGTATGTAAATAGGGGAACTTCATTGAAAGGTATAAACGGCGCGTGGCAAACGAGGGAACATGTGGTGAAACAGTGAAGGAGAAAGTAAGGCGATTTTCCCGAAAAAATTACTAATTTTTTAATATTTACCTGTCATAAATTATTAAAGAAAATATTATAGATAGAATAACTTTTACAGAAAGAGTCTTACGTTAGTTGGATCTACATCAGCGTAAGGCGTAATTTATGGGTCGCGTCTTTCAT